ACCAGATAAAGAACATTTCCAATATCATGGTGACATTGACATTTCTTAGACCTAGCTAATAATGAAACTGATGAAAGCCAGTCTTAGTCATGCCAAGAAATTTGACTCGTAATTGGAGTTTAAATAACCTGAAACAAAGCATAACAACAATAATAGTTTATTATGTATTTTAAAGAATGACGCAAGCTTATTGCCGATTTTCTTTTTTAATAGCTTAAACCCAGGAAAATGTTTTGAGTTTAAATCGTAGGATGGAAAAATGATACACAAGATTTTTTTTTTTAATCATATCCTGATTTTTGTGTGGGTTGTTTGCTCTGAAATGATATATCTTATGATTTTTGAAAGACAAGTTAAAGGAAGAGAGATGAGATGAAGCCATGGAGATGTTGATCTAGGAAGGGAGATATATATAGCTATTGATTAAAACTGTATTTGAAAAAGTATTCAATGTCTTGGTCATGTAATATTTACAGAGCATGCTAACACACCTAGTGTAACCACTTCCTTCTTATGATCTGTTACTAAATTCAGCATCACTTTCAGAGAGTATGTAACCAAGACAGATCCAATAGTTCTGCCTCACCCCTCAAATGCTTTGAATGAATCGCTTCAACTTATATGTCTGTCAATTATTTGACCTTATTGAACTCTTTCAATCCTTGACTATGTATACAAATTTCAGAATATACTTAAGAGTATATGGCATTACTGTCTAAGACTTTGCTGCTCTATGAATTTCAATTAGTTTAGCATCTCTGCCTGAATATAAAGAGAACTAATTTGTATGATTTCAACTCTTTGAAGCAGTATACATGTTTAAGTAGCTTATGATATAAATATCATCAGCATAAGAAATCCTTGAAGTTTGACGTCTAATGAAATTATTATTCTGATTATCTTGTCCATTTATAGATTCTAATCAATAATCTAGAGATTTATTAGCGTGATTCTACATATTATTACAGTCTTTTTTACCAACAGCTACCAATCAATTATTCCTTTGAACATAATTATCTTCTGGTTTAAATATAGAATATATGTTAATCAACCCTGTCAAAAATATTATCTTAGAGAAGAGTTACATCCGATAAATTGTCTTTCCTAGGATCACTAGCAGTTGAAAATTCCTTTCTCAACATGGTATATAATGATTTACTTCTGGTATAACATTCATCATCAGAATATGCCTATTGGATATAATTGAATGTGACAGTACATGTAAACAATGTTGACTAAGCATGCCATTGAATGACTTTGAATTTAAAATCAAGAACGGTTTTTTTGTAATATTTATGTAAATGGAATAGTACAATAACAAAATATTTTTACTGCCGAAAAGCGATCAGTACATCAATTGTGGAGCAATATAGTAATATTAAAACAGAACCTGAAACATGTTGTTACTTTGAGCATCACTTTGAGATCTTCAGACAACTGCATGCTTTTCTCAAGATAGTGTGTGAGAAGCATCAATCTGTTGCTAGGAAATTTTGAGATTTCAATGAGCCAAATTGCTTACAAGGATACTTTCCTTCTTAAGATTAACAGAAAAAAAGATGGGTACTTAAAATACGTCGGTAGCCTGTATTTTTCATACTACAACCTAGTAAGGTCTTCTACTCAGATAGAAGTCTTACAATTTGAGTACTGGTATTCAGTGATTTGATAAGAGATTGGTTTAAGTCAATCTATCAATGAAATAACCTTGTCTCTCGGACTTATATCATGAAGGTCACTGGTTCTCAGTAGAAGCTTAGTCAATATAATAAATCTTTCTTTCACTAGATGTAGTAGGTCGGAAAGCTTGTCGACTAATTTCATCAATAGCTAACACGTTCCTCATTGATCTTAATCTAACTGGAAAAAATGGCTTTATTTTCCTACCACATTATTGACATAACCTGACACATGGGACTTTCCCTATTTTATGTTTAAATGTGATTGAAATCAATAAGTCTTCTAGTGTTTGTCTCATTATTTTAATACGAACACACAACATCTTGGCTACCTCTAGGGAATAACCACCAATAGATCATAGTCTCAATTGATTAGCTAAAGCATCTGCCTTGGACATAAATAATCTACTAAGAGGACTGTTGATCTCTGTCCGACATTTAGCTCTCCCAATATTGACTCCTTAAGCAGTAAAGCTTAACGATTATTTTACTAGCATCTTTCGATGAAGAAATATACCAAAGGATCATGGTATTTATGATTTTTAGAACTGTTCATAATTGATGAAACAATTTCTGTTAAAAGATAAAAACATGTTGAACAGGAAGAAATGATATTAAGATGTTTACTTCCTGAAAGGATTGCTTTGGGAACAAACCAACCATAAAGTATTAGATATTTTAAAAGAGTCAGTTTGCCCTGACTTGCTTAAAACAGTAAAAAATGAAACAAAACTCAAATTTAGTTTTAAAATGTTGAAATATTGGTATGATTTAAACAAACAGGTTTGCCATCGGTTTGACCAATTGTACTGTAGTTTCAGAAACAGTATTTTTTTCATAGCTAAGCTAATCAGTAATAGTTTTCACATCTCACTATAGAAATTAAATTGACGAAAATTTACATATATTCAAGACCCAAATCAGCCCTTTAAAATACCAACTTTGCCCCTTTAGAGGTTTGGAGTTTAAGATAACAGAATATTAACTTATTTGAGCTGATGCAGGGTGGTGATGAAAATTTAACAATAGCCGACCTGGACATGATATTGTTTACAATATTTGAATCACATTTCCAATGATCTATGTTTATGTTGTGAGTCTCAAGGTCTCCAAGCAATAGAGTTAACTATTAGTGATTATCTTAATGAAAACAAAGATCTCTCCAGGGAATTCTCTATCCAATTTGATGTATTCCAGACTTCATAGAGTTGTTCACCATGGAGAACCCCATCATGTTCATGTCAGATATTAAAAACTATATTAATCAATTAACCCAAACAATAATTGACTTTGGAAATTACAATAACAATATATTTCATTGTTAAAATTATGCTCTTTTAAGGTATATATTAAAACAGAACCTAAAACATGTTTTTATTTAAAGTTTCAGACTGTGTAATTTTGATATTATTTATTTACTTTATTAATGTTGTTATATTTAGTCTCTTCTTTTGTTTGGTTTTTGGTCCAATTCAAATCTTACTAAAATGCTGAAATGACTCCATCCATATTCGAATTTTACATACCAGATTGTTTTTGGTGAGCAGTTTGCCTTTAGGTTTTTCAAACCAGGTACTGTGATTCAATTAGTCAAATCAATAAATATGGAGAACTAACTCTAACCAGGTTAATGTCAAAGAGTTGCATTGTATTACTGATCAAACTGAATAATTATTTACACTGAAGTTTCTTTTGTGTGATGTTCATTTATAATGTCAAACTCCAGTGGTTCTTGTATTTGATAAAGAGTAGATGCCAGCTCTGAAGACTAAATTAACTTAAGTGACATTATAATGCATCAGTAATGAAGCTAGTTTCAAATTAGGTTCTCTTTTCAATTCTGACTGAAAACTAGGTCAAAAAATCTCAAGGTCTGGATTGAGCTATGGTTTTCTATAAGAATTTCTATAAGATTTTTTTAAATGGATACATCATCAGATTAAAAGTTTTGGAAATCATGAATCTAGGGAAAGCGAATTGTGGTACTTGTAGTTGTAAATTGCTGTATATTTTACATTTAATGGTATTGCATGTCTCCGTTGATAAGACACAGAACAGCTGGATGTAAAATTTCATTTCAATATTAATTCATGCCTTACAAGTTATTTGTGTTGAAGGATTTATTCAGTCTGAAAGCTAGATCAATGTCACATACTGTGGTTTAATCAAGTTTGTAATTGAGCCTTTCATGTTATTCTGTTAACATTCTAAAATTTCAAGGTGGAGGTGTGCCTTGGGTTAAAAAACATCTCCATATTGTGCATTTGTGACAAAATATGGGTTTTTGTTGATATTTTGAAGTCAAATTTTGTAATAATGTTAGAAATTGCATATTTCAGTTCTCGCTTTATTTTCTTTAATGAGTCTTTCATATATTCCTTGTGATTTAGATCCAACTGCTATTTATTCTGGTTCTAAATATAATTTAATGTGGTTTAAAATCTTTTGTCACGATAGAAGTAATTAATCAATGGTCATGTGCTATATAACTTACTTTTAAGTCTGATTAATTGAAGAATTGTTAGACAAGTATTAATTTCTTTATTAAATTTGACAGATATTCAAGAAAATTAAGAAGAAAAAATTTATTCAGTATATAATATAGTATTGTCAAAGAAACCCAATGGACCACAATTTAGTGTTTAGAGTTAAGTTCCCTAAAAATTTTGAACCTTGGGTAAAATCCTGATCAAACAGAATTACTCAAATTAAACTTGATTATCATATTGACTTAAGAAGCCATTCATCTTACCTTGACTAGAATCTTATATTAGAATTTACTTCTGGGATTAATCTTATTTGAAAATAGTGAACTGAAATGTTTGGGTGAGTGAGAGGACTTTTTCCAAAAGACTTTAAATCTTGCATTGGAAATAGCCCTCTGAAATGATTAAGCGAGTGAGAGCTACTGCTTCCTGTAAGCTTTCACTAAATCTTGTGATAGAAATAACAAAACGAATGTTTGGGTGAGTGAAGTCCACTGTTTCTCAAAGACTTACACTAAATCTTGCTTTGGATATAGCGAAATGAATGTTTGAGTGAGTGAAAGTCACTGTTTCCTAAATACTTCGCTAAATCTTGATACAAAAATAGTGAGCTGAATGGCCACTGTTTCTCAAAGACTTACTTTGAAAATAGTGAACTGAATGTTTGGATGAGTGAGGGTCACTGTTTCCGCAAGACTAGCAATTAATCTTGTTTTGTAAATACATGAATAATCCTGTGAAGCGTGTCTGGAAATCTCTACTTCAATTTGTATTATGGTGGTCATCTGTCACTGTCAGCATGGGAGAATAATAAATCTTAATCTTCTATTTCCAGGTTCAGATTAGACCGTGGAGTCTCAGTGATTCCGATTTTGTTATGGATGGTTCCCAGCCTCTCGATCCAAGAAAAACAATCTTTGTTGGTGGCGTGCCAAGACCATTAAGAGCAGGTACTGTTATGTTATTGTATGAAGTCTGTATGAAGGTCATTTTATCCAGCCTCAGACTACAGGGAATTACAATGTTAAGAATGACAAGGAGTGGGTGTTTTAGACAGTTCATTAAATACAAACTGACAAACAATTTCTCTCATGTCCAATACAACAATTTCTAAGGCAATTTCCAATAAGACTCAATTCAGGTGCTACATGACATGGAATACAAAATATTCATTAGCATCATTACATAGGCCAAACATTTTATACATTTAATTACTCGTATTGTTCGTATCATATTGTTGTATTAAGCTAATATTTGTTATTTGACTATTCATTCGAGCATTATATAATCATTTATCATTCATTCATTTATCATGCATGCATTAAGTAATCATTTATTCATTTATCATTCATTCATTTATCATGCATGCATTAAGTAATCATTTATTCATTTATCATTCATTCATTTATCATGCATGCGCTGATGCAGGAAGTAATCATTCATTTGTTTATCATGCATGCATTAAGTAATCATTCATTCATTTATTCAATTATCATGCATGCATTAAGTAATTATTCATTCATTTATTCAATTATCATGTATGCATTAAGTAATCATTCATTTATTCATTCATCTATCTTCAGTGGAACTAGCTATGATTATGGACCGACTATATGGAGGAGTATGTTATGCTGGTATTGATACAGATCCAGAATTAAAATATCCTAAAGGTGCTGGTCGTGTGGCCTTCTCTAATCAACAAAGTTATATAGCTGCTATTAGTGCCAGATTTGTTCAGTTACAACATGGTGATATTGATAAACGGGTAAGTTCAGCCATGCAAGTTAAAATGCCACAGGTGTACAAGACGGATTGAGATACCCTGATGGAGTCATATGTAAATGTATCATAAAATCTACATTGTTGATGTCTATGTTAAGTTAGGGATTTTCAAGTCATTTGAAGATTTGATGAGAACTTGAAAAGTCAAATTTTCAGATTTGGGGCTCTTTTTGAGGGATTCAAATGATCTACCTATCAAGTCATTTAGCAACTCATTGAACCACTTGTCCATTTAACATCATTTTGTATGTGTTTTCCAGGTTGAAGTTAAGCCATATGTTCTCGATGATCAGATGTGTGATGAATGCCAAGGTGCAAGATGTGGTGGAAAATTTGCTCCATTTTTCTGTGCTAATGTCACTTGTCTACAATATTACTGTGAGTATTGCTGGGCCCAGATTCATTCAAGACCGGGTCGTGAATTTCATAAACCTCTGGTAAAAGAAGGAGCTGATAGACCAAGAGCTGTACCCTTCAGATGGTGTTAAAGGCAAGAGGTGGAACATGAAGATCTTAAAGATGGCGTTGATATTTTTTCTATCTTTGATATTATTAGTTATCTTAAATGGTTCCAGTCTTTATTACAGACAATGTTCATATTGTCTTGGTGGTAGAAAAACTTAGTATGTTTTTTATTAATCTTTTCTAAAAGCCAAATAGTCTCATTTTTTTACATTCGATTTTTCACTTCTGGTTTTTGTCGACTGACACCAGATATTTTTTCACTTTTCGTACAATTCAAGGTTCACGTAGAATTAAAACTGGAGTGTGATGGAACGTAAATACCAAAGATTTCATACAATTTTCTATCTAAGAGGTGAATATAATGATTTTTTTTCTACAACTATACAATCATTATAAACAATATTAGATCTAAAAAAAACTTGACTCTTCAAAGGATTGTTAATTTATTTAAGAGAAATTATTATTTATTTAAATGAAGCTAATGGTAAAGAAGTATTTGAAAGTATGTGAATATCAATATTATATAGAAGTCTAGGTAGTTATTGATCTGCCATTTCCTGCTATTTATTATCAATCAGAGACAATATTGATACAGATATTTATCTTCACAATTTTAAACTCTCAATTATTTTTTATATTACTGACTCAGTTTATCAAATATTCTACCTAACTTAAATACATTTTTTTTCTGTCTAGTTCTATACTAAAAGTCCTAAAAATCCAAAAAGTAAACAAAATTTGTGTTAAAATTTGAGGCAAATTTAAATTTGGCTACCATTTTGAAGGCATTTAGACATTTTGGGTAAAGTATCTGAAAAGGAAACATGAGAATTGTTTTGTTATATTTGAGTTATTAACACTAAGAAAGAAATATTGTGTAATTGTGAATGTAAATTATCACTCTGCTTCTATTATTGTTCAGGTGAAATTGATATTGATTTCTATTGAAAATGTTATAAGAAGTCAGGTGTTGCTTGGAATGTGACAACAGATGTTTAAAAAACACAAGGCTTAATTAGATGACCTATTTAACTTGGTTTTCACTGAAGAAAAAATTATGTAAATTGCCAAAGAAAGTCTTAGACTGGAAATGGCAGGTGAAAGGGGAACCCTGTCAAAAACTTTAAAATATTTGATAATCAAATCTGAATAATTTCAAGATATTTGATATTTTTTCAGAAACTGTCTTGATCAGAATTCATGGTTTTCAGACAAGAAACCAAGCGTGTAAAAATGACCTCCAGATCCTTACACATAATAAATTCATATATTTTCAAATACTACCTTGTCTAGAGCTTTTGTTATTGTTAATGTTTGAAAGAATCAGATCTAGTCAGTCTGGAGATTGTACAACTCATTGTTTTTATTTTGACAAAAATACATCTTCAGAAATATGCATAGAAAATTACATTTAAAGCTGCAGGGATTATATTTTTACACAGAAATTGTGATCTACATAAATGAGTGATATATAAAAAAAACTTCATGAATTAAAAATCTATTTTTGAATCCAATTTGAACTTGATAAATTCTGTAGAAAATTTAATTTTTTGAGTGGTAGTTTTCGATAATTTGAAAGAAATAGGAGGAAAAATGAAATTCTGATTTAAATTTTTGAAATGAAATATTTTTTGAAAACATGAAGACTTAAATGAAATTTAAAATTATGATTAATTTCAAAAATTATGAAATAAGAAAAATTTATAACGAAAAATTTGGAAGAAAAATGGTGTCAATCACTTCCATGACCCACACATGAATTGATTATTATTATTATTATTATTATTACTGTCACATAATTATGGTGTCCCTTATTTTATAAATGTAACTTACAAGTAAATGTTTTAGTTTTTGTATGGTATGTACGATTTTAATACAATTGTGCATTTGTTTTGTTTTGGTGAACAGTTTTTTGCTCAATAAGAACTAAAAGTTGTGTTGTTAATTTTCCCTAGTCTTTTGTTGAAGCATTATTTATAGATTCTGAGAAATATTTTTAATTTTGTATAAGAAAATTGTACATAAAAAATAACAAAAAATAATTTTTTAAAGATGTATTTAGTTTCTTATAAATGTGTGGGTTTTAATGGATCAGCATTCTTAACTGGAAGTTTGTACACAATTCAAGATGGTTAGTTAGAAGAAACGGACTATATTTAACACAATATGATGATGTAGAGATATCAACATTTTTTATAAGAACTATTTTTTAAAGACCGTTCACCTAACATAGTTTCTAAGATTGCACTTGCCTTTTTGTAGTTAAAGTGACTGGGGATGTCATTTTTCACGATGTCCTCTATTTTCATTGTCACAATTTTTTACTGTTCTTGTTAATACATAGCACCAAGTATTTTTGCATTTGCAATTTTGTTACTTTGTTTGAAATTTCCACATTTTCAATATTTGCATGTTTGTAAAAAGAAAGTTATTTTGTATCAGTCAGGTTGTTATTGAATTATTCAGTGTTAGTATTTTGTATTATGTTGTGAGGTTGACAATAGTAAGAGTTGGGTGTTACCACCATTACAGGAGGAGTAAGCTTCCAGTTATGTTTTTATATGGGGAAGGGTTTTGTATTTATTATTAACATTATTTTAAGTGCTTCTTATATATTATTTTATTATTTATAGTCCTTTTTTGTTTATTTCATTTTCATTCATTTTTTAAGTTACTTTTTTCATATTTTATATCCTTAGTTTTTTTAAGAATTTAAATGTTCAAATTGCCTTGAACAGTCTGTGATGAGTGTAAAAAAAACATAGCTTCCGATACGTCAAATAATGTTTTTTGTACGACAAATATTTGTAATGTTTTTCATTCCTTATAGTGCGGGTTAGCTTCAGTACTTGTGATTCTTCCTTCTTGTATTTGAATTTTACAACTGTGTCAGTAGGAAATCAAGAAAGGTTTCTACAAATATTGCAATCTAATATGAAAAATTGGCATCAAATACTGTCAGTTATACATGTATTATGATTGACTGTTTCCTAGCAACAGTTTTTTGAATACATTCTAATTAACATAAATGAATTTACTAGTCTCAATATTATCAAGTATTAAAAAGTTTTAAACCTAAATGGCACTGCAAGTTAAAATATATCCTGCCTTGAACTGATAAAAAATCCCCCAAAACAGGCATCTTGAAATATCAGATTTCTTAAACTAGTCAAAATTCTGTAATTCTGTGATTGTTTTTATACTTAATTCAGAGTGAGTTGTTTCTAACAGAAACGTTTTGAATTGAAATCTTATCAGAAATACAATAAATTTGTCTGATCCAGTCTAGAGAAAGGCCAGTAATTATCAAAATATATATTGTGATAAGACATTGAAACTGAATTTGGAATTTAATGAGAATAAATCTCTTCTAGTCGATAAAAACATTAGATTAAAAATTCTGTGATTTAATAAAAATATATGATCTAGTCTCAACAAAATCAAGTCATAGATGTCTTTTCAAAATAGATAAACTAGAGCCAGTTTTAACTACATTAGCCTCTATATCTATAAAGTTTTTATAATGTTATTTTTTAAATATTATTTATTTTTGTAAACTATTTTGTTAACTTCTCACCCAGTTTCCTGTATAAATACAACTGATAATTTGAGCACTAGCGTGTCAAACTTACAATATAGGTAGTGTTCAAGAGTTTCACTTTCTTTGGTTTCAGGCCAGTATCAATGAGAGATACTTACGGTAATGTTGAAATAATCTTATTCAAACTCTGTCATGTAAAATTTGTCCTATTTCACAATAGATTTCACCAAGCCATTGTTGATGAAAATCTAATCTAATAATCTTTATCTTCTGTAATGTCAGTTTGATCTAAAACTTTAAGTTTAACTCAATTATCCATTGAAAGAAAACAAATTCAGTAAAGCTACTTATCGGGACAAAAAAGAGTTAAATTCCATTTCCTTGATTGAAAACATTGAGGTTGGTTTATGATATAAAAGCACCATGTTATGAAATATGATTGATCTATTGGAGGCTTTTACTGTTAGTTTTAATATTAGTCACAATCTCTACTAGAATCCTACTTCAACATCAGCTGCTTAGACTAAAAGTTTAATCCTAACCCTTGAACACTACCATGTTAACAGTATGTAGTTACACCTTGTCAAAAATTTACTCATTTATCAAACTTCATTTTTGTAATGATTTTTTTTTATTTGAATTTTTATAAAAAGTTTGTAAATTGTGATTTAGCTCTGAACTATAATTTTGAGATAATTTCATAAAGCAATACCCCTTCTACTTAAAACTTTCACAAAATCTTGTAGTTTGGTTTCGACCACCCTGTCTCAATGCACGATCTGTTTACGAGATTTTTGTCTGATATGCCACAATCAGGACACAATATTTAAAATTAGAATATATCAATTTGATTGGTTAGGTAACTCTGGTTTATCCAATGAAAATGAAGACCAAGAATGTTTTATTAGATGAAAATTTCACTGCACAAATTCTATATTCATAAATCTAAATTTCATATTCAAATTCATCTCTTATTGTGCACAGTGTAATCTGTTTATGAACTTTCAATACATTTGTTAAAGAAATAATTTCACTCTAGTTTCTTAAATGATCTTTGCAAATTTGGTGCATTAAAATGATCTAGGATATTAAGACAATTTTTTAAGTAATTCTATAGAAATTTGTATAAATAGTATCTTAGTACCTCATATTAAAATGGTTGTAAAAGGATATAAGTAATACTCACTTATGTTTTAAATAAAAAACATGAAAAATAATAAATGCATTGATGGAGAATAAGAAACTCAATCAGGTAATTTGTCTCAAAGATGTCAATACTGAACCTGCTAGCTGTCTTTTGTCTTGTTTGATGTAAATTAGAGATATTTTAATAGATAGTTAAACCTTTTTGAAGTCTTATGTTAGTTTGTTTTAAGGATTAAGATATCGGCCAGCAGAAATGTTTAATTATGGAAATTAAATTGATTGTTGAAACTGTAATTTGATGTCTGGAATTTGTATTGTTCCAGTTCCAGGGGAAGG